CTTCCTTCCAGTCTCCACCTATAAGACAACCTAACCAAAGGCCTTCCCAAACCTCCTAGTCTATTTGTCTCTTCTTCATTCACTTAGCTATCACTACATACATTATACATATTTAACATCCTCTGGTATTTGACTCTAAACTCCATGACATAAACGATTTCATTTGTTCTGATCACTGACTGCAGTGTTCCTACCATTTGGAATACAACCTGACATATAGTAGACACTCAATAAAAAATGCATGGAATCTAAAAATACTAACATTATTCTGTTTCAGGTATGACTACTCAAAATCTCTAATCAATGCCTCCTATAGTTCATTCTGAGAATTTGTGATTTTTAAAAGGAAAATAGTTCTATCTACTATTTTACTTAATATGCTGATTTATTTATATCCCATCCCAGGATCATTTAGTCATCTGCTGTAGAATACCCAAGGCCATTTTTAGGGAAAAATCCTGCTCTTGAACGTTCTCTTTGTGTGTTTATTATTTATGCTAATAATCAGAGAGTAAAATACATGTCCCTTGGAATACTTTCCATTTCTTTTCTGCTTTCTTTTATTACAAAATAATGGGAAGTATAAAATGATAATACATTTACTTTTGAGCATTTGTATTCTGTGCCTTTTGGCCTGGGGCTAGCTCAGGTAAAGGTTATTTCACTCGAGGTTTTGGTTTACACTGGAGAATGTTTTACTTGAGATTCTGTCCTTTAAAACAGAGACCTCAATTATATGCCATTCCCCATTAGGGCCCTGGCTCAAATGGGAGCTTTGTGGAAATTTTCTTTTGAAGGACTCCTTGTCCAATTTAACCCTCATTTGGGAGTCTTCGCCTGCTAAAACGTTGGAATTTTATCAAGATTTTCTATTTTCAGTAAGAAATATAACCTCCTGAGAAAAGATCCATATATTGCATTAATCACATTCTAATTCTGTATATTCACTTATCACATTTTATTAAACAATTTCATAATAAAATACACGGTCTATGTTCAGATAGATAAATATGGCCATAATTTGGAGTTTTGCAGGTTGTAAGATCAGTTTTGCTTTCCCTTCCTACATTCCTCTTATTAAAATTTTTTAAAAAATTGGTAGCCTACATACAGAAAATATACTTAAGTGTACAGCTTGATAAATTTTCTCAAAGCAAATGCACCTGTGTAACGACCACCAGGTCAAAACATGGAAATCTTCAACACCTCTGAAGATTTCATCCTGCATTTAAAAATCTAACCATTCTTCTGACTTTTAAACTCATGGAAGCATTCTGCCTATTCTTGAAATTTAAGTAAACGAAATTACAGTAGATATACTTTTGTGTCTCACTTTTTTCTCTTTCCGGAAATTGATCTATCTTATGTACTGTGTGTCACTATCATTGGCTCACTTTCATTCTAATTTTGGCTATTACAAATGAAGCTACTATGAACACTCT